AGGTTCCGGCTGTGCAGCACTCTGCCCTCTCCTCCTGTCAACAGTGCTGCTCCATATAGCTGATGACACAGGATCACTCCAACCATCGGGCTGTACACAGTTTTCATTACCCGCCCCCCTACCCACATTTCCTGCTGCTGGGAGATGAGCGGTCCTTGGAGGAGATCGGGATGGGTAATGAATCTGTGTACAGCCCGATGATCAGAACGATCCTGTGCCATTAGCTATATGGAGCAGTGCTCTGCCCTCTCCTCCTGTCAGAATGGCACTGCTCCATATAGCAGATGACACAGGATTGCTCCGATCATCAGGCTGTACACAGATTCATTACCCGCCCCGATCTCCTCCAAGGACCGCTCATCTCCCGGCAGCAGGAAATGTGGTAACAATAGGCAGGTGACAGGTCCTTACTGAGAGGCCCCAGATCTCTCCTCTGCCCTTTCGCCCTGCTGCAGAGCCGTTTTTTCACACATGTTTAAAAAAAATAATAATTTAAGACTTGAAAATTACAAAAAATCCCCTCCTGCTTGTAAAAGCAATCCAGCGACTAATCAGCCACTAGGATTGCTTTTTACAAGAAAGCCCACCGCCGGCTGAAAAAAAAAAAAAAAGTACTGGGATGAGGCTGCAGGCGTCATCCTGGTATAACCACTGCAACTGGAGGCTGTACAGGGATATCCTTGGGCAGCGAAGGGTTAATACACAGCAATGTTCAGCCTGCCGGTAATTGGACCACAAGCTCTACGCTGACATCTTGTCATTCTAAGAGAGTGATACATTTTATCTCTAATCCACCATTGCCATGGTTGCAAATAGGGATGCACCAAAGATTCAGCCAAAAATACCCTCATCGGCCTCTGGACAATATAAAAATATCCACCGATACAGGTGCTAAAAATATCCACCGATACAGGTGCTAAAAATAGCCACCGATACAGGCGGTGCTGGAAATAGCCACCGATACAGGCGCTGGAAATAGCCACCGATACAGGCGCTGGAAATAGCCACCGATACAGGCGCTGGAAATTACCTGAGAACCCATCCAATGATCCCGGCGCTGGGCATAGAGGTCAGTAAAGGAAAAATGGACTTTACTCAACTCTATGCTCTTGGAGGACTGGAGCGACGTCATTACGTCACTTCTGGTGCCATGTGCACAAGGCCTTTTTTCTTTTCTTTTTTTCCTTCTTTTTTTTTTTGATCTAATGCTTTACCTGTGGAGGAGAGATGTGGGGTCTTATTGACCTCAGATCTCTCCATAAAGAGGACCTGTCACTGTTTCTATCACAGGGGATGATTGCGTTCCTTGTGATAGGAATAAAAGTGATATTTCTTTTTTAAAGTACAGTGTAAAAACATGTAATAAAAAAAGTTTTAAGTGCCCCCCCATGCTCGTGCGCAGTGGTGACCGCATACATAGGCCACGCCCACTAATGTAAACTGTTTTCAGAGTACACATGTGAGGTATCGCCACAAACGGGCGAGCAAGAGCAATAATTCTAGCACTAGACCTCCTCTGTAACTTTTTTTTAAATTTTTTTAATTTAAATATTTATTTTTCAGATAAAATACATGTTCCATCATTACTCTCATATAACATACAAAACCATCATTTATATCCCTTTCTATCTTTATTCCCATTACCCCCCCACCACCTATCTAATACCCCCCCCCCCCCCACCTTACAAACCTACCCCTGCCCCCTCCTTAAAAACCACCCACTCTGCATTTTTCCATTATATCTTTTCTTAAGTATTTTCACATATCCCACTCTACTGCTTCATATATTTCACCTTGGACACAAAATCTTCCCATTTTCCCCACCTCCTATAATATACCCCCATCTTGTCTTCTTGCATATAATACAGTTTCTCCATCCTACATATCTGGTTCATTCTTTCCACCCAATCCTCTTCTCTCGGCACCTCTGAGCTGTGCCAAAACTTAGGTATCAGACCCTTTGCCTCATTCAGATAATACCATATACCCGAATCCTTGTATTTGTTCACTGATAGTTCTGTACTGTGTAATAGACACAACTCTGGATCCAATCCTATCTTTATCCCAGATATTATCCCAATCAAATGAACCATTGCCTCCCAAAAACCTTGAATCTTTGGGCACTCCCACCATGTGATATAACGTACCTATCTTTCCACACCCCCGCCAACACTCCAGTGTATTCTCCCCATTCATCTCATATTCAACGTTCGGTGCAATGTGCCATCTTGTTAAAACATTTATAATTTACCTCCACCTCTCTCATGCTTATATTCTCGTGTGTTAATCTATATATATTTTCCTTTGTTTATCTTCATCTATCTCTATTCCCAAATCCCTTTCCCATTTTACTATGTACATCGGCTTTGCGTGTGTGTCTAACTGTGAGAATTTTATAAACTTTTGCCGTGCCCCATTTCCCATCTCCGCGTGATTCCAACAACCTCTCAAACATCCTCTGTAACTCAAACTGGTGACCTGTAGAATTTTATAGCCTCCTTGGCGGTATTCCTGAGTGTAGCTCGGGGTAAAGTTTCAGTACCACAAGCGGTAACCCCGAGCTACACTCAGGAATACCCTGCAGTGTTGCTCTGCGATCCCTCGATCACTTACCTTGTCCTGCGCTCCCGCAATGTCCCTCCTGCAGTGTCCCCGGCAATGTAATCCGACGATGCCTGGCATCTGTCTTCCAGGTTCCGTTCCCTGCGACGTCAGGACATACGGGGGACGGAACTGGCGGGAAATTTGAAAATGACAAAAAGTGACATTCACTAAAATCACATAGTATAACATTCCTGTATCAACCCATTTCACATACATTTTGTCCCGAGTGCTTTGTCCGGCGCCCTGCCTGCATTTTTACTGTTCTTTCTGCCTGGAAACTGAGAAACGTCCATGGCGTCCAAAAAGCGTCCCTTTAGGTCAAAAGCGGTTTTAGACCAGCTAGAGAACAGCGATAGTAAATCAGAACCACTTGCAGAATTGAGTGATAATGATTCGTGGGGGAAATTCCTCATCAGACACTGAAAACGATTTTGCGACTTTGCTCAGCGATGTGCGAACTTGGCGCTATATTTCAAATTTCAGTGTTTTTGGTTTGATTAGATTATTGAATTAAATTTATTATTATATTATTAATTTTTATGATTATTTATTAAATTATAATTTATGATTTTGTGTTACAAGTTTTATCATACCCGGGATGTTTAACCACTTGCCTACCAGGCACTTATACCCCCTTCCTTACCAGGCCAATTTTCAGCTTTCAGCGCTGCCGCACTTTGATTGACAATTGCGCGGTCATGCAACATTGTACCCATATGAAATTTTGATCATTTTTTTCTCACAAATAGAGCTTTCTTTTGGTGGTATTTAATCGCCACTGGGCGCTTTACTTTTTGCGCTATAAATTAAAAAAAGTGCAAAAAATTTGAAAAAAAAAAAAAAGTTTATTTGTTTCTTTTATAAAATTTTTCAAACAGGTATTTTTTCTCCTTCACTGATTTGCGTTGATGAGGCGGCACTGATGGGCACTGCTAGGCGCACTGATGGGCACTGCTAGGCGGCACTGATGGGCACTGATAGGCAGCACTAAAGGGCACTGATAGACAGCACTAATTAGGGGTCACGGATAGGCGGCACTGATATGCAGCACTGATAGGCGGCACTGATAGGTGACACTGATGATGGGTACTGATAGACGGCACTGACTGGCATCACTTCTGGGCACTGACTGGCGGCACTGACTGGCACAACCCCTGGGCACTGACTGGTGGCACTGACTGGCAGCACTGCTGGGCTGCACAGGTGGGTGGCACTGGTGGGCACAGGTGGGTGGCACTGGTGGGCACAGGTGGGTGGCACTGGTGGGCACATGTAGGTGGCACTTCTGGGCACATGTAGGTGGCACTTCTGGGCACAGGTAGGTGGCACTGCAGAGTGGCACAGGTGGGGGCACTGCTGGGCACGGGTGGGCGGGGCTAGTGGGCGCACTGCTGGGCGGAACTTGCGGGTGTCACTGCTGGGCACCGATCATCAGGGCACTGATCATCAGTGCCCCGATGATCAGTGCCGATCCCCGCTCTGACAACTGCCGGTTCTCAGCAGTACTTTCCTCACGATCTGACAGCATGAGGAAAGTGCAGCCGAGAACCGGCACTTGCATTTCCCTGTGATCAGCGTGTCATTGGACACGGCTGATCACGTGGTAAAAGGCCGGTGGGATCGGCCTTTCACCACATCACGTGATCAGCTGTGTCCGTAGGACACAGCGATCACGGAGATCGCCGGGGTGCGCGCCCCCTGGGGCGCGCAGGAGAGCGCGTTCTGGGAGGACGTCATATGACTTCCACTCAGAACTGGCCGGCCGCGGTGAAGCCGTCATTCAGCTATGCGCGGTCGGCAAGAGGTTAATAGACTCTTGTTCAGACAGATTTCAGTGAGTTATTCCTAAGAATTACAGGCCTACAATATAAAACACCATATTTCCATGCAAAAAAATGGTACCGCTTTCAGCACCAAAAATCTGAAATAAATCATACCGCCAGGGAGGTTACAGCATTACTCATGGAGACTTTTACGTCCCGTAGTCTGGCACCAGTCTACAAGTGAACTTAATTTTAAAGCGTGAAATGTTGGGTATCTATTTACTCTGCGTAACTTCATCTTTCATATTTTACAAAAAAATGGGGTTTTTTTATTCAATAAAGTGTATTTTTTTTTCCAAAAATTTGCATTTGAAAAATATATATACATTTTTAAAAACCATCCGTTTCTGTTTTCATCCGAGTGCATCTTGAATTTTTGTTTTCGGCACCAGAACTCTCATTTCGGTGCACCACTATATGAAAAGGAGAGAAGTCTCTTTTTTTGGTGGTAAATAAGAGCAGAGCTGGGTGTGGTTTGGTGATTGTACTTTGTAGTTTTCCCTGTCCCCCCCGTCAGTCAGGGCTGTAATTCCATGATAGAAGCTGATCTGTACATCATTTCCTTCCTATCAGATGGCGTCCCAATTACAGGAGAAGTTACAAGCCGAGGTGACCAAGTACCAGCAGATCCAGAAAGGTGAGACATGGAATGGAGGAGGGTTGTAGGCAGGGAGAGTCTGTTTCTGGTAAAGGAGGCCCATCATTTGACCTCCAGCCTTCCCTTGGGTCTTGCACAGCTGTATCGGCTCCTTTCCTGGTCTGAAATGGCTTCTTCTGATTTCACTGCACACTGTGAGCTTCTCATAATGTGCATTAGAAGTTGCAACAAGTCATATAGAGTTCCGCCTCATTTCCTGGCTAGAGGACAGCCAGCATCATCTAGCACTTTCCTCCCCAGTCTGACTGTCCCTGGCTCACTGCTTTCATACATCGGATTTCAGTTCTTTCAATCATGGAGACTCAGAATCATGTGTGGGTGTTTCCTATGGCGCTCTGCATGTAAAACCCGGCACGGAACACCCACTCCTCCAAGCGGACACCTTCTTTTAAGGCATTTTGTTATTTGTATAACTACTTCCAAGAGCCAATCCGCTGCTTGCATCAGGACTGAGGGCTCTTGCAGAGTGCTGGGAGGGGCCAGCAGGGTGCTGTACATAGTTTTCTGAAATCATCACAGCAATCTGCTGGCCACTCCCACTAGACATCTGCCTGCATTGCATAGAGAAGCACAGAGATCCAGCAATAACATCAATTGGTCTAAAATATAAATAAGGTAATGAAAGTGGCAATTTTTTCTATTTTTAATTAAATTCTCATTACCATGATAAGGTGGGAGGGGGAGGGACCAAAGATGCAAACATTTTGGTGGTGGGGGGTAACATGGTGCCAAGATGCAGCAGAGTGACTCATAATTTTCGATACCAGAGTTGCACCGATACCGGTGTTGGTGCCGATACTAAGCATTTTCACGAGTACTCGATGCCTGAAACCCGATACCTTTTGCGGTGCAATTTGAGCCCATACAAAATGAGTGGCCTCAGATCGCACTGCAAAGAATTGCATTTGATTTGAACAGGAATGCGTACAATTCCTGTCCTAATCACATGCTGTTTTCCTACGGGTGCGATTTGTGCCATTCATGTTGTACGGGCTCAGATCACACCACAAAGCAATTCAGCGAGTACTTGACCTCGAAAACCGAGTGCATCCCTACTCAATGCAATTTGTAATCAGTGCACTCAATCCATCAACACTTCCAGCTCTATAACCAGATATAGTGAATGCAGGGTCCGGGGAGAGCGGATATAGTGAATGCAGGGTCCGGGGAGAGCGGATATAGTGAATGCGGGTTCCGGAGAGAGCGGATATAGTGAATGCGGGTTCCGGAGAGAGCGGATATAGTGAATGCGGGATCTGGGGAGAGCAGATACAGTGAATGCAGGGTCCGGGGAGACCGGATATAGTGAATGCGGGGTCCGGGGAGAGCGGATACAGTGAATGCGGGGTCCGGGGAGAGCGGATACAGTGAATGCGGGGTCCGGGGAGAGCGGATATAGTGAATGCGGGGTCCGGGGAGAGCGGATATAGTGAATGCGGGGTCCGGGGAGACCGGATATAGTGAATGCGGGGTCCGGGGAGACCGGATACAGTGAATGCGGGGTCCGGGGAGACCGGATATAGTGAATGCGGGGTCCGGGGAGACCGGATATAGTGAATGCGGGGTCCGGGGAGACCGGATATAGCGAATGCGGGGTCCGGGGAGACCGGATATAGCGAATGCGGGGTCCGGGGAGACCGGATATAGCGAATGCGGGGTCCGGGGAGACCGGATATAGCGAATGCGGGGTCCGGGGAGACCGGATATAGCGAATGCGGGGTCCGGGGAGACCGGATATAGCGAATGCGGGGTCCGGGGAGACCGGATATAGCGAATGCGGGGTCCGGGGAGACCGGATATAGCGAATGCGGGGTCCGGGGAGACCGGATATAGCGAATGCGGGGTCCGGGGAGACCGGATATAGCGAATGCGGGGTCCGGGGAGACCGGATATAGCGAATGCGGGGTCCGGGGAGACCGGATATAGCGAATGCGGGGTCCGGGGAGACCGGATATAGCGAATGCGGGGTCCGGGGAGACCGGATATAGCGAATGCGGGGTCCGGGGAGACCGGATATAGCGAATGCGGGGTCCGGGGAGACCGGATATAGCGAATGCGGGGTCCGGGGAGACCGGATATAGCGAATGCGGGGTCCGGGGAGACCGGATATAGCGAATGCGGGGTCCGGGAGACCGGATATAGCGAATGCGGGGTCCGGGGAGACCGGATATAGCGAATGCGGGGTCCGGGGAGACCGGATATAGCGAATGCGGGGTCCGGGGAGACCGGATATAGCGAATGCGGGGTCCGGGGAGAGCGGATATAGCGAATGCGGGGTCCGGGGAGACCGGGATATAGCGAATGCGGGGTCCGGGGAGAGCGGATATAGCGAATGCGGGGTCCGGGGAGAGCGGATATAGCGAATGCGGGGTGGTCCGGGAGAGACCGGATATAGCGAATGCGGGGGTCCGGGGAGACCGGATATAGCGAATGCAG